CAAACACAGTTTCCTCTCCTTGTTTTTCCTTGACTTCTACCCTACCTACTGTTAGAGGTCTCGCCCATCCCACTTTGTATGCCATCCTTTTGTTCCTGACCTTCAACTCTGCGTAGAGTCCTCTTGTTGTGGCGTCGCATTGAAGTACCCTTGCCATCGCCACTCCCCCCACACAGCCCCCCAGTAGGCGGCTCTGACCGTGTCCGCTGCATACGCCCCTTCCGAGGTGACCACCGTCCCTGCAAGCAGTTGTCCTACCATCACCTCCTCCCGGTGCTCCTTCCTATTGTGTCCCAGCGGAATTTCTCTACCCAACGTTTCCCACCATTCCCAGAAATCTCTTTGAGGTGGGCAGTCCAGCCATAAGTGCGGCATTGTTTCCATCGGTTCCCCACATATCTTGCATTGTGTGTCAACAGCTGTGCTATGCGCCGCCATCCATTGAAAAGTCGGCACTGCTAACTGCAGGCTCAGCCACAAGCCTCCCGCTTGCTTTTGATCCGGCAGCCACATTAATGCCTTATTGGCATTTCTCCAATTTTTTTCGTTCCAATGTGTCAGACTTTCCGCCCTCAGCCATCCCCTCTTCTTCCATCGTTCCCTCATTTCTCTCACCATATCCACCGGTGCATTCAAAGTTCTGTAAATAACCTTTGTCGAGACCTGATGGGGGTTGACAGCTCTGCGTTGGGAATTCCTCGACACCTTTCAGCACGCAATGAATCGGATCTTTCATGACTACTTGGACAAGTTTGTCATCGTGTACCTCGATGACATACTTATCTTTAGTAGGACTGCCGAGGAGCACGTAGCTCATTTGGACAAAGTCCTTAGTCTCCTTCAACAACACAAGTTCAAGATGAACGGTGAGAAGTGCGAGTTTGGCCGCACCCGTATCTTGTACTTTGGTCACGAGATTTCTGCGGAGGGACTAAAGCCCGATGACGCGAAGGTGGCCAGCATTCGTGACTGGCCGCGTCCTCAGTCTGTGATTGAGATGAGGCCTTTCTTAGGGATGACCGGCTACTACCGCAATTTTGTTAAGAGCTATAGCATGGTGGCCGCCCCTTTGACTAACCTGACCCGCCTTGACACCCTGTGGGAGTGGACAGACAGGTGTAAGGCTGCTTTCAGACATCTGAAGCATGCATTGACACACCATGAGGTCTTGAAACTTCCTGATCTTGACAAGTCGTTCATAGTAACCACAGATGCCAGCCAATATGGCATTGGTGTCGTGCTAGCGCAACAGGAGGGGCCAAAGTTGAGGCCAGTCGAGTACATGTCCAAAAAAATGCCCTCTCAGAAGTTGGCTAAGTCCACCTATGAGAAGGAGCTCTACGCGAATTACAAGGCATTGACCCATTGGAGACATTATCTCCGTGGGAGGTTCTTCATTGTCAGGACTGATCATTAGACCTTGAAGTGGATGAGAACTCAGCCTGTGCTCTCTGATGCCTTGAAGCGCTGGATCGAAGTCATTGAACAGTATGACTTCGAACCCCAGTATCTGAAGGGGGAGTACAACAAAGTTGCTGATGCCTTATCACGTAGGCCTGACTTCTCTAGTGCGCTGATCATTGAGTTCGGGCTTGCGAACGATGTCACTCGTTCTATGGTGGAAGCCTATCGCGAGGATCCGTTTATGTCTGAGATCATTCACAGGCTCGAAGCGAAGGACAAAGTGACTTCTGCCGAGTTTGAGTTGGTCAACGGCTTGCAGTTCCTTGAGAAGGCTGGGAATAAACGTTTGTGCGTGCCTAATAGAGAGTCTTTAGGCAGTTTATTTTTAGTAGAGTGTCATGACGCCATCGGCCATTTTGGTTTCAAGAAGACTGCAGCCAATTTGTTGCAGGAGTTCTGGTGGCCCACGATGATGAGAGACGCGAAGATGTACTTGGAAACTTGTCAGGTCTGTCAGAGGGACAAGCCATGTACACAGGCTCCTCTTGGGTTTTTGAAGCCCCTTCCGATTCCGGAAAGGCCTGGTGAAAGCCTGTCCATGGACTTCATGGATACGCTGGTCACCAGCAAGAGTGGTATGCGGTACGTCTATGTCATTGTGGATAGATTTAGTAAGTATGCTAGGTTAGTGGCCATGCCGGAAACAGCAAAGACCGAGTACGTTATCAAGCTATTTAAAGAAAACTGGGTCAAAGACTTTGGCCTGCCGAAGTCTATAATCAGCAACAGGGATGTCCAGTTCACCAGTGAATTGTGGAAGGTTGCAGCTGCCGAACAAGGAACGCAGTTGTAGATGACATCTGGAAACCATCCAGAGGCAAACGGACAGGCAGAACAAATGAACCGTGTTGTTCAACACTTGTTAAGGCATTACATTAAGCCTAATCAAGTGGACTGGGATGAGAAACTGGCTCTCATCGCCAGCCTGTACAACAACGCAGTTCATAGTGCCACGGGAGTAAGTCCTAACAGCCTACTTCTAACGTTCAAACCCAGACTCCCCCTTGACTTTCTGCTACCTGAGAACCAGCCTACTGCTGCTCCAGGCACTTTGGAATTCGCTTATAGATATGAGAGCCATATGCAGCAGGCAGTAGAACATATGCACAAAGCACAGGCGACGATGATCGAATATGAGAACAAGCACCGTCGGGACAGGGTCTGGGTCAAGGCTTCAGAACTGGGACAGGAGCACGGGATTTCCCGTAAGCTCATGCCACAGTACTTTGGACCATGGGAGGTTTTGGATGTAGTTGGGGATGAACCAGACGGACCTTCATATGTCATACGGATCCCTGGACACCTTCGCACTTACCCTGTTTTTCACGCCTCAAAGCTTGCACCATTCAAGGAAACTGATCAGTTCCCTTCGCGACGCTCAATGCTGCCCCCAACCATTGATGGAGAGGTCGACATTGATGAAATCGTGGATCACAGACAGATGCTAGTTCCAAGACCTACCGGCAGGGGACGTCCTCCGAAACCGAAGCTGCAGTAGTTCGGTTCAGACATCACACTGATCCTAAGGAGGACAGATGGTTTACACGGGAAAAATTGATGCAGACCACTCCACAGGTTGTCGCCCACTATGAGAAGTTACTGCAGAAAGGAAAGCGCCAGATTGATTAAACTTCTCAGAGGACTAGCGAAGTATGGAGGAGGGAATGTGAGGCACAAGGCCTCGATAAGCCCTATCGGGCCCTTATTTGCAACAGGTCGGCCGCCCTAAGTGAAGGCAGGCTCGACAGACGACAAGAGGCCTATTTTGGACTACTTCGCAACTGGGGTAGAATTCAGGCAGTTGCACAGCGCCAGTTGGTTGAAGGCGCCCAGGCCCTGGCCTCCTTTATCAAATGCATCTCAGTCAGGCCCTGGGCGAGATACGGAGCATGGACCCAACTCTGACTATGGGCAGTTGGGCACTGGTAACTGTCGGTGGCCTGGGTCTGATTCGTTTGGACTGAGGCTCAGCCTCCCTGGGCCTACCGGACGCTTCTGGGACGGGGCCCAGTACCGCAGCACAGCACGCAGCAGCAGGCCACTTCGATATAGGGAAGGGCCTGCCCACGCATTGGAGATTCGGGCACTGGCTGCATGCTGTGCAAGCGCTGCTGCGCTAACGCTGGCCAGGCTCACGCGATCACGGGCGAGCTGGAAGGAGCAGGCAGCCATAGCCAAGCTGCGCTGCTGTATGCTGGATGGGGCGCATGGTGGTCCTTGGGTGCAAGTGGCATCCGTGAGTTGGGGAACGAGGTTGTGAGTGATACAAGAGACATACCTGGTGCTTGACGCGTGCGGCATTGGCCAAGATCTGCGCATACTTGGGAAGCTGTTGACGTCATCAGCGGCATTGTAGTCTAGGCTAGATAGGATCTGTCATTCATAGTCTGGGCGCCGAGCGCCAGATAGGATATCAACTGGTTCTTCGTTGATGGTGATGAGAGTATTCCAGCATTCTCAATTATGAGCTTTTGGTGTGCTCTTATTTGGTGAAACTCATGATGCAATTCTGCTATTGGTTCGAGGTCACGACTATCTGGTCTCATGTGTATGATGTTGTTTGATTGCTGAAGTTCGCTATTGCTCATCTTCCTTGCAACTTAATATTATTGCGTTTTTTTAAGTCAAGGTGGATTCCATTACGCAATAATTGTGCCTTGATCATACTGCGGGCACTTGCTGACTTTAATGGAACGATAAATCTTCATATTAAACTTCTTTGCTTTGTATACTCGCGTTGGTCTCTCTTTATTCTTTGCTCTTTGTTGCTCCTCTCTCTCTCTCTCTCTCTCTCTCTCTCTCTCTCTCTCTCTCTCTCTCTCTCTCTCNACGGGCACTTGCTGACTTTAATTGAACGATAAATCTTCATATTAAACTTTTTTTTCTTTATACACTAGTGTTGGTCTTTCTTTATTATTTGCTTTCTCTCTCTCTCTCTCTCTCTCGGTGGGAGTCTCTCTCTTTCTCTATCTCTCTCTTTCTATGTCTCTCTTTGTCTGTCTCTGTCTCTCCTCGCCCTTTCTCCTACTACTTTTTTTTTTTTTTTCAATTTGTCACTTTTTTAATTCGTCAGTTTAACTCAGACTTCGTAGCCAGTTTTGGGCTATTCTTTATTACCCTGTGATTCGTTTTTTTTTTTTTTTAAGCCTCTTTGAGTTTATGCGAGTGGTCTGTGTCAGGTTGCCTACAACATCTCTTATTTTTGCCGGCGTAGCCCGCACCGCGGGCGCTACCGCAGAGGGAGCAGTGGGCGAAGAGTAGGTCTGCCGTGGGCGTGGCCGTGGTGACCATACTCAGAGAGTTGATTTCCATGGGGCCGCGCTGCATGCCGTGGGCGCAGCTTTTTTTTTTTTTTTTTTTTTGTTCCCCTGCTCTTAGTCCCCGCCGGGCATCCTCTTGTTTTTTTTAAGCCTCTTTGAGTTTATGCGAGTGGTCTGTGTCAGGTTGCCTACAACATCTCTTATTTTTGCGGGCGTAGCCCGCACCGCCCGCACCGCCCGCGCTTAGCTAGTATACACTTACTGCATTCAAATTACCTCTCACACAGAGTCCAATTTTGGCAGTTCCAATCCATTGGCAGCCTTTGTGTGAACCAGTGGTGTCAATGGGCCCGCATGATTCCCAGGGGAGATTGGTGCATTCATCTGCCAACAACAAAAAACAAATCAGGAAAAAGCAAACAGAAAAAGACACTTTGTAAGAAGGGGGAGTTCTTTTTTTAAAACAAACAAAAAGAAATGAACCAGTCTTGTCGATGAGCCCGCATGATTCCCTGGGGAGATGGGTGCATTCATCTGTCAACAACAAAGAACAAATCAGAAATTGCGACACTTTGTAAGAAGAGGGAGTTCTTTTTGAAAACCAGGCAAAAAGAAGAACAAAGAAGGTTCCGTTTCTGAACAAAGGAGGTGCCATTAAAAAAAAAAAAAAAAAATGTCGGTTGAATGAACGGGAAACACCTCCAAAAAAACAGATGAAGGGATTGAAATCCTGTCAAAAAAAGGGGTTACCGTTTTCAGACAAAACATCTCACAATTTTTAGTCAATGAATCGCTGTGCAATGATACAAAGTAAAAGCCAATCAATACCCGATTGCATGCGCTTACCGGCAAATGAGGAATACATCTCTCTCCCCCCTGAGGCCAAGCAGTAAAACCCTCCTTGCCCAATCAAAGGATCACACGCTTAATTATTTGGACTTTTGTATAATGCAGTTTTGTCAGCGAAAAAGGATGGAGGGATGAGGGGAGCCGGCAAAAGAGGTGGAGAGGGGGGCTGGAGAGGCCAGGTGGGCTTTATAGGGGGGCTGTATTTCGAAAGGACAAATGGGTTGGAGAACGGCACAAATGGTCTAGGAGACACGCAGGACCGGGCAATGACGCAAGGATAGGGACGCTGGACCCCGTTTCCAGCAAAATACTGTCTCAGGGATACTGGATCCCATTTCCAGCAGGTGTCGCTCCCCATCAATTCGGATGCAGCCATACATCAGGCAAGTTCCTCTACCCTGGTGGTTCTCTCATCAGCATCAGGACAGAGGACGTGAAGTGAAAAATAAAAGGTAATATGTATTCTTCTTATCTTATACCTTAAAGGAAAAAGCGGTCCGCGCGTGACGCTCCCAGTGGGCCCAGCGAAAATCAGGCTGGGAGGTCTGCGCGCGGTGCTGCAGGGGACCGAGGAGGGTGCGTCGGTTGGGGACGGCAACAGTGTTCAGGGGCGGTGCAGTGCACGTCGGTTGGGAAGGCCGGCATGGGGAGGGGGCCGTGTGAGCGTGTCGGGCCGGGGTGCGCAGTGAAATTCAGGCGAGGACGCAGGGGACCGACGGCGGCGCGTCGGTTGGGGAGGGCGGCAGTCCGTGTGCGAGTCTTCGTTCGTGTGCTGCCGATGAGCGCAGCGGCGGTGGCCTGGCGGGTGTTTGGGCCGGTGCGCAGAAAGCGCGCGCGTCGAGGGGGGTGGCGCGGGCGTCGAGGGGGTAGGTCGCGGCGTTATAAAGGGAGCAGATGCGCGCTGTGTGAGGTGGTAAGGCGTGCGCGTGAGCAGGCTGTGGTGCGCGCGCGAGAGAGAGAGAGAGAGAGAGAGAGAGAGAGAGAG